CACACACACACACACACACACACACACACACACACACACACACACACTGCTTTTTGAATGGGAAGGGTGAACGGCAGAAATTCCTGGAGAAGCCTGCAGAGGGCGCCATGGAAACACGGCAGGAACCCATCCTCCCAAGCCTGCCAGAGAAGTACATGAGCTGTAATATCAGGAAGGGCTCAAACCCACTGCCCAGGGCACAGGGAAGCTTCAGAGGTGCAAGAAGGCCTCCTAAGACTTAAAGCCCGATCTAAGCCTGAGCCGGGTCAGTTCCCTTAGCCTTGTGTGTGGCACAGGAGGCTGGCCAGCTCCCTCCACCCACAAGACTTCCTGGGGTGATAGAGTCCCCACGGATAGAAAGGCCAAGGCAAGGGCCATACTGTGTTCAAACATACTCAGAATATGTCATCCACATCACACACCTTCACACACACCGGGTCTCCAACCCTCCTCAGAACTTCTACCTGCCTAGTGTCCTTTGTACCCAATCTGAAGGTTATGCCCTGTGCTTTTGGATGGCCAGTCCCTTCAGCTGGTCCCAATTAGACAGGCTGGTTGGCTTAATGAGGACAGACACCATTTTTTTTACCCCCAGTTCCCAGGCATTTACCCCAGGTCCCTCCACCTGACCCCACTGGGTAGAGCTCCCGTCCTGTCAAGTTATTCTGTCCTCTCTACTGCCCTGCAGGACACCATAACCACATCCCCCATCCCGCCCCAGCCCTGAGGGGCCGCTCATCACTACTCCCTCCCTGACAGCAGCCACCTTCTCCCAAGCAGCCCAGAAAGGAAACAGATTTAGGGCGAGGTCGAGAATGAGGACAGTGACAGGAGGAGGTACTTGAAAGCCTGGGGGGAGCTCCTGGCACCAGCCACCCCTGAAGGAAGTCATTGGCACCCTTTTCTGGCCAAGGAAGACAGTGGGTCTGTTTTGCGGGAAAGGAGCTGGGGAGACACACTCACTTCTTGCCCAGTTGCCGAGCCACATCACAGCGCTGGAAGCCCTCAAGGTGGTAGAGGCGGCGGGCCAGTCGGCGAGCGGCTTCGCTGACCCCCTGGCACCCATTGGCCAGTGGATCTGTGCCACCAGGCTCCAGTCCCTCGGAGCTGCTCAGCTCTGAGTCCGAGTCTGACAGGCCATCCTTGAGGCTGGTGTCGCTGTAAACGGACAGGAGGAGGATCAGAGGTCCTGTATGTGGCTGAGAGGAATTCCACTGGAGGGGAGCCAGCAGAGGAGGCAAAGAGGAAAGCATCACTGCAATGGGAAAGCCTCCAGCCAGGCTTCCAGAGTGGCCCAAGTGAAGTCAGACGTGGCTGTGCCCTCAGCATAGCAATATGACCTACTATTGAATGAGCTATTGGAATGGAAGAGCGGAGTGCACCCTCAAGACTGGATGGGCTGTCTGCGTGCCGAGGACAGACAAGGTGACCTTGAGAGGGCTTGTGGATTGTAGACACTGTCATGCCCAGAATGCTTTGCCTCCTCTGGGTCTCAGTTCCCCTATCTGCTCGGTGGCTCCCCAGCACCCAACCCAGTCCCTGCTCACCTGGCCGAGTTCAGCAACTTGTCCGTGTCCTCCTCCTCATCGTCTCCTCCCGAGCCCCCAGGTCCCTCTTCGTGGAACCCATTGGGCACCGACGCGAGAGACAGGTGGCTCAGGACATTCTCTGAGCGGCTGCTAGAGATGGACCGCCGCAGGGGGCTGCCCAGCTCCCCATCACCACCACCAGCTGCCCCCAGATCCCCCTCAGGGCCCAGCCCAGTCCCGGGCTCAGGGCTGTCTCGAGCCCGTTGCTGGATGAGAGGTGTGAGGGGGGCCTCGAAGCTGACACAGCTGTCGCTCTCGTCAGTGAGACTGAGCACATCCAAAGAGTCCAGGCTGCTGTACTGGGTACCCCGCAACAGCTCTGACTCCAGAATCTTCTCAAAAGTCGCACTGAAGCCATCCCGCACATCTGGTTCCCCGGAGCAGTCCAGCCTAGAAAAGGCAAGAGCAGAGTCACCATCCTACCTAGATGTACCCCATACTAAGTCTAGCGACCACACTCCCAGTCTCTAGGAACTGACCACACACACACACACGCGCGCGCGCGCATGCATGTACCTACGTGCATGCAAACCCCATGCATATTCACACACTTCCTGTGCAAATGCCAATGTATCTAGCTAGACACATATATTCGTGTGCGCACATGTGCGCACACACACAAATATGCCCCCCCATGCATACTCACACAACCAATGAAAAGGTTGGAGCTACACATACATTCCCTATACATATTTACACACCCTGTGCACTTGCCATACAGGCAGGCAGGCCTACAGCTACACTCTACAAAACTTGTGTATGTTCTTCCCGGACTTCCTGTCCTTTAGACATTGACTGCCCATCCCTGCCTCCTTGTCCAGGGGTACCCAAAGACCAGTTTCTCTACCTTCTACTAAGAAACAGACTGTAACTGCACTGGCTGGGATAGACACATGGTTCCTGGTACAACTTATTCAAAGCGCCAGGAAAGTTCCCTGGGAGGGATGAGCAACAAGACCTGCACCCCTGGAGTCATCCTGAGATAGGAGAATGGCCCAGATAACCTGCTTTTCACATCTGGACGTTTTGAGTGAACTATCAGCTGAGAAGGCAGAGTGCAGCCCCTCTCGGAGTCTGCTCATTATGGATAGAGAGAGAAAGACAGAGTCAGCCAGACAGGGCAGACGTCAGAGAATCTAAAGTCCTATGAAACAAGTGCTGAGGCAGCCTGTCAGAGGCAGGAGAATGGCCATAGTGATCTCTTTAGTAACTTTCAGTTGAGGAATGAGCTAGGTTGTTTACCCCCAGCTCTCCTCTGGCCATTGTGGGGGCCAAGTGCTGGGGTGGGGGACAGAAAGCCTGCTTGGCTCTGAAATCTCCTGCAGGACTCTGACTTCTCAAAACACTCAGAAGCTGAAAATGGGGACAGGAAATCTCAGACTCCCAGAGAGACCAAGAGGCTAGCCCCGGGCCATATCACTAGAGTTAGAAATGTGGGGGGCCATTCAGGGTACCCACTTACCCCAGCTGAGGATCTTCAGCTTCTGGACAGAGACTCCTGGAGAGATCCTCCTCCTCCTCTGCAGGTTCACTAGCCCTCCAGGGCCTGGATTCCATGGAATCTTCCAGAATGTTCCCATCTTGTCCCAAGGCCAGCCCATTGGTGAGAGAGAGGCTGAGGCCAGGCACGGCCACATCTGGGTCTCCCATGGGCTCCATGGTGCCCTCTAAGGTACCTGTCTTCTCACTGCCTGGACTGCTGATGTGGCTGCCTGGGCCTTCCTGGGCTTCCATTCCATTCTGGACCCCAGGTTCCCCTTCAGGTTCTGGGCTGTGGTCCTGAATAGCACCTCCTTCCTCACGCAGGTCACATGGGAGCTTTTCTTCATCCATGACAGTCACGGCTTCCACCTGACCCAGCCAGCCCTAAGGCTCCAAAAACCTTGACAGAAGATGGAGAGAGAAAGACAGAGTCAGCCAGACAGGGCAGAAGTCAGAGAATCTAAAGTCCTATGAAACCAGTGCTGGGGCATCCTGTCAGAGACAGGAGGATCGCCATAATGATCTCCTTAGTAACTTTCAGTTGAGGAATGAGCTAGGTTGTTTACCCCCAGCTCTCCTCTGGCCCGTGGCTGGGCCTTTGTACCCTAGCTCCTTCCTGCCTTCTCTATTACTTCTTAGGGTCTCTGTTGTGTCCCTCAGAATCCACCAAAGTCCCTCGAGGAAGACCCAGGTAGTGAGGAACTGGGCAAGTGTCCCACAGCTCTTGAAGGTCCCTCTGTAATATTCCTAGTAAAAGAAGACAAACCCCCAGGCTGGTCTTTGCCCGCCATGTGCCTCTCTGAGTGTTCTCAGCCCCAGCTGCAGGAGACAGAGTACCCGGCATTTATAACTAGTGGAGGAAATTGACCCGGGAGTTGCTTTTAAAGGGGGCACTAAGAGAGAAGTCCAGGAAATGAACAGAAATGCAGCTGGATGCTGACAGGGAGCATTCCAGGGAGGCCAGGGGAAAGCCTGGAGACAGCCGGCAGCCACGGGGGGGGGGCCCTCCCACCGTGAGCCGCTGTCCAGGGTGCTGGGCGGGTGCAGGGCTGCACTGAGGCCAAGCACCAACATCTGGCAACGGCAGAAGAAAGGAAGAAGGGGTCCGGGGCTCCCTTCGTCATGAGGGCCCCCACAGGAGTTTGTCAAGTCTTAAGGAAGAACTGAAGAAAGACCTCTGAGAAGCACTCTGGGGAAAGCAAGGCAGGAAGAGCTACACTCTGTTCATTCACCCTCCAGAGGTTCCAGCCCAATGTCATCCTAGCTAGGAAGGCAGAAGCCACGTGCAATGGGCTGTGGCCTCACTCGCCCATCCTCTCCTCTCTACCTCTGCCCCTGTAGTCTAGGCTACCCTCCCAAGTGACCTCACTCAGAGGCTCGAGCCTGCCCCGCCCCAGCACCTGGAAAGCTGCGGAGGCAGGTGTCTGGACCTTTCCTGTTTCTGGTTTGAGTTACTTTCTTGCTCCACTTGGGAGCCTTGATGACCCTCAAGAGCCTGCTTTCTTCTGGAGAGGTCTATCTGGGTTCCCGAGAGGCTGGAGGAGGAGAGGGAGGGGCCAGCTTTCTGGGCGGCAGGCAGCAGAACAAGCTGCAGAGTGGAGATAAGAACGTGAACCCTGGGGTCTGCCTGATCCTGAGCCTCACCTGGGGACTCAGCCTGCCAGGCCTGCCTCGGGCCACAGGCTCAGGCCTGCAGGAAACAGAGGTCAATTCCAGGAGGGCTTTGCACCTATGCGAGCCCACAGAAGAAAATGAGTTCCGAGCTCTGGGGACTGGGCTTTTGATGGGAGCTCAGCTACTACTATAAACCAGTTAAAATTAACTCTGGGTTTTCAAACACTGAGTAGAAAATGGCTGGAAAGAGAGGAATCTGTGGCCTCAACCCAGCCCATTGTCACTACCTAAAGTTTGGACATTTTTTGGTTTTTCTGAGACAGGGCCTCTCTACATAGACTACCTGGAGTTCTAAATTCAGATTTTACACACACATACACACACAAACACACACATATGCACACACACACAAATGCACACATATATGCACATACACACACAAACACACACATGCACACACACAAATGCACACATACACACACAAAAATACACACACATATATGCACACACACACAAATACACACACATACACACAAATGCACACACATACACACACATACATACACACACAAATACACTCATATATACACATACACACAAATACACACACAAATACACACATATATATACATACACACAAATACACACACACAAATGCACACATACACACAAATACACACACACATGCACACACACACAAATACACACACACATACACACACAAATACACACACACATGCACACACACACAAATACACACACACATGCACACACACAAACACACACATATGCACACACACAAGTGCACACATATACACACACGCACACACACACAAAGTCCACAGATTTAAAACACCTTCAAACCAAGCTCTAAGCTTTCTGGCCCTGATGCTGGGACACCAGGGACCCTCGGGGCTCAGTGCTGAGTAAGGGAGTTCTAGTCTGCCCTACATCCCTGCCGCCGCCGTTGCTATTTCTACCGGTTCCCTCCAGTGGCTCACCCAGAGGAGGGCAGGAGGTCACCTCTTCAACTGAGACTCCAAGGGGAACATAGAAGGGAAGAGAGGGAGTGGGGCAGTTGCCTGCTGCCTGGGTTCTAGCCCCCCACTATCTCACCAACCCAGGGCAGCAGGGATCGGGCCCTCTATTCTGCCAGATGTCTCAAACTCCTGCACACAGGCACAGAGGTGGAGCCTGGCAGGGTGCGGAGCCCCTCTGGTTAAGGTTCTGTCTGATCTCCCTAAAGCCACTCGAGGATGTAAGTGGCTCCACCTGATGTTCAAGCCACAGAAGACCAAAGCTAGGAGTACGGACAAACCAAGGACTTCTTGGGAACCTTACTAGCAACTGCTTCAAGTTATCCCAGACCTATCTGCCTTGCCATGTCCCCTTGAAGCTTCGAGTAGGATGGAGTTTCTGCCAGCACTGGGCACTGGCTCGTGCCCTCAGTTCCAGGGCTGAACAGACAAGGGGCGGCATTGAGCTCTACTCTAGGCAAGGGGCCCAGAATGCTTGCCTGGGCTGGGGGCCAGTAGAGCCCAGAGTAGTTGAGTCTTGGGAGGGATACACAGAGGGGATGTTTCAAGGCAAAAGGTGTGAAACGATGTTCCAGGTTCTCACTCTAAACCATGATGTGACCAGGGACTGACTCTCGCCTCCCTTGCCTGTGTGAAGCCAGAGCGGAGAGGTGACACTAAGGTCATGGATGCTGAGTGGGGGCTAGTCACAGAACAGCCAAGTCTCCGGGGCTAGCAGCAGCTGAGCTTGGTTCTCCAGCGCAGGAGAGACTGAGAGGCACACACTGGAAAAGGCTTTGTTTGAAATCCCACTGCTTGAGATCAGGGGCAGTCTCCCTCTGCAGATAGAAAGACAAGATGTGCAGACTGAACCCTCCCATGAAATCGAGGCTCCAGAACCTCAACCAAGAGAGTCAGCCCAAAGCAGTGGCTCCTCCTGCCTCCAGCCCTGCTGGCATGAGCAGAGAGGAGGAGCTGGGCCACTGAGCATCTGTCTCGGGGAGATGCCTGCAAAAGACAAGCTGGCAGCACTCAAGACCCCCTGTGGCCTGCCCTCAGCCTGATCCAAGCCCCTTTCCAGGAGTCTTTCACTACCCACAGCCCTTGGGATGACCTTGGGCTCAGTGGCCTTTCAGCACCAGCGAAGATGGAGACCATCATCATGATAGTAGAAGCCAGCTGGGCCAGGAGTGACTGGAGAGCCATACACTTTCCGGATGTCAACTGCTCCTCAGATAACCCTGTCCCCTTCCCCATTTCCCTGATGGCAGCTGGAGAATGCTGCAAAAATAAATAACACAGCATGCCTCCCTCCTTCCTAACCCTGCAGCAATTCCTATCTCCCTTAAAGGAAAACCCAGTCTCCCGGCATGGCCTAAAAAGACCCTGCCTGGGCTCACTCTGCCGCCTCCTCCTGCCTGGGCTCACTCCGCTGCCTCCTCCCCAGCCACACTGGCCTCTTTCTGCTCCCCAAGCTCATTCCCACCTCAGGGCCTTTGTACCAGCTGTACCCTTGGCCTAGAATGTTGCTTCCCTGGATCATTCAGTGACTGTCTTTCCTGCCAATCAAGGCTCACTCCAAAGCTCCTCCACCTACCTGCCCTGATGTCTACCCAGTCACACTTCACTGAGCTTCAGAGTGTCAAGGAAAATAGAAACTCTTCTTTTTCAATTAATTAAGTTTCTGGTGTGTGTGTAAGTGCACATGTATGTGCAGGTTCGTATGTGCATGTGTGTGTGTGTGTGTGTGGAAGCCAGAGGTCAACATGGGTGTCTTCTTCAATTGTTCTCCAGCTTATCTTGTGGGGCAGAGTCTCTCACTGAACCTAGACTAGCTGACCAGTGAGCCCCAGGGATCTTCCTGTCTCTGCCTCCCCAGCAGGGGCTACTGGAACACATCACCGCACCCAACTTGAGGGAGGGCTGGGTTTGGTGGTAGTGGCGTTTGGTTTTAGTTTGGGTTTACCAAGACAGGTTTTCTCTGCATAGTTCTGACTATCCCAAAACTCTCTCTGTAGACCAGGCTGGCCCCAAACTCAGAGATCCACTTGCCTCTGCCTCCCAAGTGCTGAGATTAAAGTTGTGTACCATGACCGCCAGGCTACACCTAGCTTTTTATATCAATGCTGGAGATTCAAGATGGGGTCCTCAGTCTGGCTCATCAATCGCTTGACTGAGAGCCATCTCTGCAACTTCCCCAAACCCCCTATATGTTTATTTCCTGGCCACCTCCCTGACACTAGGATGTGAGTCCAGTCAGGGCAGGGACCTGTCATGGGCACAGCAGTCCAGAGCCCGGGCCATGTCCAGCACATAGGGATGCTTTATAAATATTTTCTGGCTGAGTAATTTGGATTATCCTCCTCTTCATTTTGGCAGAGCCAAGGCAGCACGGAGGAACATGCTCAGAGCAAGGCTGCTACAGGGTTCGGCAATTCTATAGTCCTCCCCATGCTGGGGCACAAGCCAGGGGCCGCGGGAAGCACCAGGACAGTGTAGAGGTGTTTCCGGCAGGCAGGTTCCAGGCTGGCTTGCTCCGTGAGACAGCTGTGTGCTTAGCTGTGCATAGTAGGCATTTGTGGGCTCATACACATGTGCATACATACTCAGGCCCACACATAGAGGGAAGGAGACATCTTCTGGGTGTCAAGGTAGAATGAGAAGTCTTCAAACCTAAGGACAAAGTCAAAGACAGCTAGACGTACATTACTGGACACCCAGGGTAGAAATTCTTCCACCTGTGGAGAGTCTGGAGACAGAAAAAGGGACA